CCAATGCAGTTATTAAATTTTCTGAGTCAATGTAAGGTTTCATGGGGTTTGTTTCCTTCTTCAAAATTTCAGTTTTGATGGGAAGTTCTCTTTTTTAACTGGTTGTAAACTTAAAAGCTCAACTGGATCATGCAGTTCACACCTCACATTCCTTAGTTCTCGGTAATTCAAAGCGATGTCCATTAATATATTAGTTAAATTTAAAGGAGACACTCTTGTGCGCACACTTAAGCTCCTGTAGGAGACAAGAGGATAATGTTACAATTTGTTGTCGCAGATGCTACCTGCAAACAGTTAATTGTTTTTATGGGCACACCAGTGTTTCTGATGACCATACAATTTATACTCAGTAACTGGTGTGGACCAGTTTGATTTAAAAATAAAACTCTTTTTGATCCGTGAACCCGGTTAACTTGACACCTTTGCTGTATGGATCTTTCCCCTTTTCTCCAAGTAAAATTACAGAGAAGGCATGTTTTAATGATTTTCAAGGACCTAAGAGATAATCTGTGCTGTTCTCTGTATGTGCCCCCCCTAGCTGTGGAACTGTTTTTCCAGTTAGATTAATTGTAATTAGTACCTGTAGGTCGTCTTTGAGGACTTTTCTTTTTGAACGCTATTATGTATGTTAGGTTATTTTAAGTTTCATTACATTTTTATTATTGTGAAGTGCTTTAGAAGATTTGCATTATCTGGGTATCTTTCGTCCCTTTTCCAGTAACTTAATACTATAATTTACGTATTTCAAAAACAGGTAAATAACAATCCTGAAGATAAACTACAATCAGGATAAATTTCATAGGTGCATGTGTGCATGCAGGAAAACCAAGTTTATTTCAGAATCGTTCTCTAGATCTGTCATAAGTTAAAAGTTGATGTTCATGGATTAAGTGTTAATTATGGACCACTTTCATAGATGGCTGCTGGATTAATTGAAGGGCTAATTTAAATTGAAAGAAAAGAATATTAATCTGGCAGCCATTTATGAAAGTGGTCCATAATCAACACTTAATCCATGAACATCAACTTTTAACTTGTGACAGATCTAGAGAATGATGATACATCTATGTGGTTAATGATGCGTTATCTTAATTGAAATTTGTGAAAAAAGAGATCTCTTTTTGTGCTACCAACTCTAGGTTTTTCCTGGAAACATAGACAAAGATAGCATCGTAAAAAACAGTCTGAATGAATTTTCAAGTGCGAGATACATTCGCCTTGTGCCAACAAAACAACATGGCCATAAAATTTTGAGAGTGGAGGTATATGGAATACTTCTAACTAAAGGTAACTATTTGAACACTTTTCCCCTTGACATCTGCATAATCAAAGTTATTAGTAAAGCTATTTGCTAATGGAAAGCTAAGTTATCCCTCGATGGTTACTGATCCTAGTTAACTGACTCAGTAAACTTTTAGAGCTGGAAATGATAAAATTTTGGAATTAATACCTCACCAGGTATTGATGCAGTTTAACCGAAAATATTTTACCGCTATGCTTTGATCCTGTTTACTAGTGACAGACTGCCCATATATACACTGCCCATGAAGCAAATGATCCCATTATATGACCACAAATTTACCTTCTTAATTGCACTGAATTGTGTGATATTAAAAAGCAAGTTGGATTTTAAGAAAGCAATTCTTCAGAATGAAGAAGATAGTCTTCTTTATCTATGTATACAGGGTTATGTGGAAGTTAGATGTTATAGACAAAATTAAACATTAGAATGCTGTCAATGCATCAGCTTATGAACTAATGAAGTTCATGTTGATAATTTAATAGGCTTTATTACACAACTTTAATGGAGTTTACAGTATCTTGTTAATTAACCAGCAAATGTCACGTGATTTCTTTATTTACAGTTCCATCACAACCTCCCACTTCCCTCAAGTTGACTGCAAACTCCTCTACCAGTATCACAGCTTCCTGGCAGTTACCACCATTACTTGCCAGACATGGAAGACACGTCAAGGGGTTTAAACTATTTTACCGAGAGATGGCCTTTGCAGGGTCTTTTTACTTGAATATTACCAGTGGTTCAACATTACGCAGGCTTGTGGCAGGGCTTGATATGTACACAGAGTATGAATTTCAAGTGTTGGCCTACACGTCTGATGGAGATGGACCAAAAAGTTTTGTTGAGGTGGAAAGAACGATGGAAGCTGGTATGTGACAGTCCAGGGATAATGAAGGGATCTGTGAACCACATTTTTGTGATTTTTCTCCATCATTATCAGGCGTTTCCCGACAATGAGATACGAAACACATCATGCGAAGTGTAAAGATCTAGGTAGTGAGGAATCAACTGATTACTTCAACAAAAGACAACAACAATAATTTCATGCAGCAAGTTAAGATATGACATAAGGTTTTTAGTCATTTCTACTGGTAGTTAACTAATTAACACGCTATTGTCCAATCGCAGCTCCTTCACAACCTCCATCCAACTTCAAAGTCACTGCAACCTCTTCTACCAGTGTTACGGCATCATGGCAACTACCACCAGAAGACTCCAGAAATGGAATAATTAAAGGATTCAAATTGTTTTACAAAAGGAAAGACTCTTCAGGGTCAGGAAACATCCTAACTATCAATAGTGAATCAACTTTAGACAAAGATGTCAATGGTCTTGACGAGTACACAGAGTACGACTTTCGAGTGTTGGCCTTTACTTCTGCTGGTGATGGAGTAAACAGCTCTGTGGTTCGTAAGAGAACAAAAGAAGACGGTTAGAAGAATTGTTTGTTTTGTCTTCTTCAAAAAAGTTAAAAACTTTTAAACAAAAGACCAGATACATACAATAATTATTTCTCATACAGCTTTCTGAAGTGAAACGAAAAAAGAAATTCTACAATTATGCAATTACATGTATGTGATGAGTATGACCATATATATGACCATACCGATATATAAGTGAGTCATTATTGGTAAGGTAATTATCTTAATATCAATAACAGTGTGAGTATTCTGATTTATTCTGATTGGCCATCAAATAATTATTATTTACTCATAAATTTTTGCATGCCAACGAATGTTGACAATTCTGTTTCCTGTTATTATTGGTAGCCTCCCTCTTGGAGTTAGACCTTGATGCACCCTTAGCTGCGTTGCAAATTCGTATTTGTCAGATTCTATTCTATTCTGAGTTCCACAAGGTCTAGCTCGATTGCAAAGGAACGAAAAATCCGACATAAAATTTTTGAAGGTTGACATATTTTCAAATATTTGATCATTTGGTGTGAACGAATAGAATGATGCCCCTCTAGTACCCCCTAAAGCCATCAAAATAATCTTTGCAAACAAAGAATTCTGATTAGTTTGTTGATCTCCTAACGATAGAGGAAGTTTCGGGACAAAATTCTGCTTAGTAGGGGAGGTAGGGGTGGTTACGGGTGGTTCAGGTGTCAATGAATGAGCTTATTATATTTACAGTAAATAAGTAAGTAAAACTTTATTTACACAGGGTAGCCCATTCAACTCAAGGCTGGTATCCATTGGGCCCTAAATATACTAAATATATTTCTTTCATTCATCACGGAGCTTGCATCTTTGGTTGCACTAAATCTTAAATCTGTTCATGTTGTCCTTCAGCAGCATTGTTGAAATACGTACACAAATTCATCGAATTAAGCCTTGCACTGCTGTAAGAAGTAAAATGTTTTAAAAATGAGAGCTTTCGCCAATCAACGGCATCATCAGGGATAAGGATCCTTCACACTCAAACAAACCGTATGCCACACCCCCAAAGTACGCAAATGCATCAGAGATAAGTGCCCCATCTCTAGCACCGGATTTCGTTTACGACAAAAAGTAGTATACCAGCTCACATGCAACAGCTGCAATCAACAATACATTGGTAGTATAACACGCTTCATCCACGACCGCGTAAAGGAACATCTCAACAACGGAGACTCGTCCGTGAAAAAACATATCAGTCCATTTCTGCCAAAACAAAGACCATGAAGGCATTGATGTTAAGATTATCATAATGAAAACGACCCCGCCAGTCTACGCCTTTGCGAAGCATTTTCCATTAAAAAGTACAAGCCCACACTCAATTCCCGGGAAGAAAGTAGTAAATTTGCAGACCTTCTATTTTAGTATCTCATGTTTTAGACAAGTTTTTAACACTTTTATAGGTCCGCCTTTGTTTATAACGGTCCATTATTAGAGCTTTAATTATGTTCCATTTACATTTTATTTCTACAGCTTTCATACATAGTCACATGTTTTACACATTTCCCCACACACCCTTTTACACATGTATAAAGCGCTCGCGGAATATTATCTTATCTCTGATGATGCCGTTGATCGGCGAAAGCTCGGATTTTTAAAACATTTTACTTCTTAAAGCAGTGTAAGGCTTCATTTGATTAATTTGTGACTATATCTTAAGTTGTGAGTAATTTCTAGTGTCATTTCAGGGCGGTTAAATTCGGTATCCTAAGTAATAACAGGTGCAGTAAGCTACATTTAGTCATTGACTGCCTATTTTTGAATTTGGGTCAGCTGTTCTTTTGTGTTTTGTTTTGTTTTGTTTTCTTTTCTTTTAGTTTGCTCTTGAGTTGCATTAATAACAGTGATTAAAAAACATAAAACAAAAAAAAAAAACAGCTATTGCTGCACTAATATTCTGAGTCAAATTTCAGATTGTCCTCACCAGAAGAGACATCCTACAAATCTTAGGAAAAACAAACTTTGATTCCCCAAGGTCATTTTCCAATAAAGCATATTTTCAACATAGATTGCATGCCTGGTAATTTGCATGCAACGAGAACACGTCAAATTAGTCGCAGAAAGTTAGAATCGAATCAATTTACAGCAAAGTCGCGAAAGTGTAGCGAAAGGAAATGGTGGACAGGGTATTAGAAAGTAACAACGTTGCTACTAAGCGATTATCTGGTTTGTAGTGATAAAAGGATGACGATCACAAAGACTCTGGTTATTGTGATGATTATTTTTACTTTTTATTGATAGTACAACTTTTTATTTGCAGTTCCCTCACAGCCTCCCAATGGCTTTACTCTGACTGCAACCACTTCTACAAGTATAACAGCATCCTGGCAGTTACCACCAGCAGACTCCAGAAATGGAATCATCACAGGATTTAAATTGTTCTACAAAAAGAAAGGCTCTTTAGGGTCACCAAACGAGCAGCTTATTGGCAATAAGGCAACTCGCACTAAAGAGGTCACTGGGCTTAATAAGTACACTGAATATGAATTTCAAATATTGGCATTCACTTCTGTTGGAGATGGAACAAGAAGTGCAGCTGTCTTTAAGAAAACAAAGGAGGATGGTAAGATAAGGATTGTGGAAACTATTGTTACGAAAGATTAAAATCAGTTGTGCCAATTCCAAGGCTAACTGTTTGTTAATGCAGATCTGTATTGTGACCACTTTTGAGAAATCTGTAATCCCTATTAATATATATTTTTGGCCAAAATGCAAAATTGAAGTCCGGCAAAATATGCCGTTCCATTTTCGCGAAATTAAGCAACAATAAGGTGCTTTCAAATGTTCAATTTTATGACGGCTGTAGTAGAATACTAGTAGTGGGGTGTTGGCACTTTTGAAAGTGATAAGGTCACAAGGGAAATAACATTACAATTAATTATGGCAATCAGATTTGAACAATTTAAAATTTTTTTTTAAACCATCAAAGGTACGCATGTACATGTAGCATACAATGTTAAAACATGTTGTGAAGTATTTTTTGGGCTTCTGCAAGGTTTTTATTGCCCATGTTATGGCAGTCGGGTTTGAAAATTTTAAAATGTTTTAAACAGTCAAAACTACGTATGTAAATGTAGTATACAATGTTAAAACATGCAATGGTGTATTCTTTTTGGGCTTCTGCGAGGTTTAATCTTTTATTATAGTTTTAAACATTTCTTAGAAACTCTGTTATACTGCAGTCGTGAGTTTTAAATTTCTATATGGGAAGTGTTGATCGAAGAATAGTGACAAAGTTTTAAAGTAATTGAATGGAGAAAAATAAGAGTACCAAAATTATGATAGCAGCTTTTGGTCTTGTCCGCTGGAAATGAAATCTGTTATAACCACATCAAATACTGTGACATGTATCTTAATCAAGCTTGCATATTACGTAATTTCATTTAAAACTTAGACATTTTTCAATCCGAATATCGATCCCTCTCAGGGAGGCATCAATATCTCTCTGAATAAAAATTTCTGTGTTGAAGCTATAAGTTAGCTACACTATAAACAGAATCTATACATTATTTATTAATTAAAGATGCTGATTAAAACATGACTGCTCAATTGCAGCTCCTTCACAACCTCCCTCACAATTCATCGTCACAGTGAACTCTTCAACCAGTATTACAGCTTCATGGAAGCTTCCACTAGAACACTCCAGACATGGAAACATCATAGGATTTAAACTGTATTATAAAAAGAATGACTCGAGTTCTGCAACCTCCTTGACTATTAACAATGGAAATACATCAGCAACAAGAGTTAACGACCTTGACAAATACACAAAATATGATTTTCAAGTGTTGGCCTTTACTTCTGCTGGTGATGGACCAAATAGTTCTGTTGTGTTCAGGACAACAATGGAAGATGGTGAGAATCGCAAGAGCTCTAACGAACAGTTAGATAACTTTTCTTTGATACTTGCTGACACAAAGTTGATGTTAATGATTGATTTAGGGTGTTGCCTTTCAAGTTAGGACTTCAAACTCAAAAAATTGACCTTGCCTCTTAAATTAGCTTTTAATCTGGTAATGAAATCTTCTCTTTCGCCATGCGTTGGGAATAATCAGCTCTCAGCAGTTTGTTCTTATGAATTGAGTTGTTAAGTTGCTCAGATGAACTTATCTTTAATTCAATTTTTAGATTGTCCCTATGAAAAAGCCACCTAAATAGGGGAGCAGTACATACTTATGTTAAATTTTACAGCATATGTAATGATTTTCTGTATCATTCTTTTATCAATATTCACATTATCTTTGTTCTTCCAGCTCCCAGTGCACCTACGTCTTTGTCTTTTGTTGATGTGCCGCCTAACAATTTGCATGGTCCCAAAATAACCTTGTTCTGGAGCAAGCCTGCAAAACCGAATGGAGTTATCAGAAGTTACACTTTGTTTTACAGTCACGATGGAGATGCGCCAAAAGAGAATTCCGGATTAGACAAAGATGCATCGAGTCACACAGTTGATGTGTTGGGTGGAGTGACTTATCAGTTTCATGTCAGAGCTGTGACTATTAAACCGGGACCAAATGGGACGATAAATGTAACCACCCAGGAATATGGTAAATCTTGCTTTCATATCTTTAAAATGGTGGACTTTTCAATAATTATATGTTAGAAGGACAAGTAAAAGAATGAAAACAATCTAATTGGGACTGTACCAGTCTACGAAAGTAAATTATTATTTATTAATGTGAAAATTAAAAGTAGGGACAGCAGCGGGTCACCAATGACAACCAAAGGGCTAAAGGTGACTCCTACCTATTACGTGAAATAAACATAAGAT